CACTTTTTGCAATTCAAACCAATACGTCCGCTCCTTGCCAACGAATTTTACTATTGCAAAGTGGAAGCATTGTAATTTAGATTTGTCCATCCCTGCCTTGGTAAATTAATATCCTGGGAGCCACGTGACCAGCCGGCACCAGGGTCTTTCCGCAGCTCTTCCGGTGCGAAGGTAAGAGCCTGGGTACGAGGTTGTTCCGTGTGTGGGTTTGGAAAGAGATACTTCTCTATCAGAGGTTTATCTGGTATGACGTTGTTCCTGTCAAAAGATAAATTAATACCATCAGAGGTTTGGAGCGTTACACATGAAATTTTTCATTCTGGGCAATTTTTTTTTTTTGTTTTTAAATGAGGCTTTAGACATTGGAAAATCATCCTGAAGTTGATTTAGGTCATTATTTTTGTTTCTTGGCTTTTTATAAGGTGTTTTGTCCACCTCTTGATGTGGTTGCCATGGAAACGTGTTTGTTATGTTTTTGTTTTGTTGCCTTTTTCTCCCTGATAAACGCAAATTTATGCATGTCATCTACATTTCTGACTACATGAAGTTCTTCACAAGCCGTAGATGCCAACAATGCATCATGGACAGGCTTGTGCGTCTTTTTGTCAGCCATTGTAAAACAAATATTCTACAAGACATCATACTTTAGAATTGCAATTCATCCAATTTCGTGTTTCCTCGTTTCTCTTTTGCTTGATTATGGCTGGGAAAAAGGTTAAAAACATTTACAGAAAAAAGAGAAAAGGCAAACCTTTCTCTGGAAAGCAAAGGTATAATAATAATTCAACAAAGAGCACTGCAGATGATTTTGACTCACCAGCAAGCACATCACAGGAACATGTGTCGACCTCAAACCCACCTTCTAGGGCATCAAGAAGGAAGTTAAATCAGTGTGGATCTCTTCAAGAATCGACTTCAGAGGGTGCTTTTGAAAATGAAGAAAATACTGACCAAGGATATCGCCTTATAAACATTAAGAAACTGGCATCATCCATTTCAGAAGCACATGTTTGCAATGAAGGTCAGAATTTGGTGTAGGTTTTATGTTCGTGTTATGTTATGTTATGTTATGTTATGTTATGCTATGTTATAGTTTCCTATCTTTTAATATACTATATGTTTATATATGTAGAGAGTCATGCACATGTATGATGTGTATAATATAGATTTGAACACTTTCTCATGGGATATAAATGAACAATAGCATCTGATCAGCCTTTTGAGAAATTATGTTTTTCTATTTGTAGGCAGCTTCATTATTCAAGAACATCCGGTTGGAAAAAGAGGTCTTCAATCTGATTTAACTGCGACCTGTAGTTCTTGTGAAGAAGAATCATCTTTGGAGACATCCTTCTTTGTGGGTGGGAGAGGGAAGTCTGCTGATGTAAACCGTCGCGCTGTGTACTATTCGATAGAGACGGGTGGTGGATACGAAAGTCTTGAATCTTTCTGCAACATCATGAATATGCCATGTATGAGCAAAACTTCCTACTATCAACATTTAGAAACAATTTTAAATGCTCTTGAGGCTGAAGCTAGGGAAGAGATGAAACAAGCTGCAGAACGACTCAGAGAACGAATTATAAAGGAAAACAGTTGTGGAGACAAGACCTCAGTTATAGATGCTGCTGTTAGTTTTGATGGCACTTGGGCAAAACGTGGCTTCGCATCTCTCACTGGAATTGTGTTTGTGATATCTGTGGATACTGGGGAAGTACTTGACTATCACGTAGTCCCCAAATCGTGCCAGATATGTAGCTTGTAAAAAGCAAAGTGCAAAACAGATGAAGAATTTGAAGAATGGGAAATTGAGCATGTCTTCTCTGGAGAATGTGACATCAACTTTAGTGGCAGTTCTCCTGCTATGGAAAAGGAAGGTGCTGAAATTTTGTGGAGAAGATCTCTTAACCGCCATAACATTAGATACAGGTGGATGGTTTCAGATGGTGACAGCAAGGCTTTCAGTGCTGTGGAGGACACTTATGATGGCATTAAAGTAGAAAAAATGGATTGTGTTGGCCATGTCCAGAAACGTATGGGGAAGCGCTTAATGAAGTTGAAGCAACCACAAAAGGAAAACTTGAAGATGGAAAGACCATCGGAGGACGCGGTCGACTCACTGATGAGAAAATAAAGCAAATTCAACGATATTATGGATTAGCAATCAGGCAAAATACCTTGTCTGGTCCTAATCCAACTGAAAAGGATGTTTCAGTTGCTGTATATACAATGAAGAAAAACATCATTGCAATTTTACATCACTGTGTAAAATCTGAAGACAAGGAAAAACAACATCGTTTCTGTCCTGTCGGGTCAAATTCCTGGTGCAAATGGCAGCAAGACCAAGCCTTAGGGACATCCATGTACAAGGGTGATGATTGCCTGCCTCATGTGTTTCTGGAGTTACTGAAGCCTATATTTATCACTCTAAGTGACACTAAGCTGCTGGAAAGGTGTGTTCGAGGTACAACCCAAAATAATAATGAAAGTATCAATGCAGTAGTGTGGGCGCGGTGTCCTAAGCACAAGCATCATGGAGCAAAGGTTGTCCGATGTGCCGCTGCATCGGCAGTTTGCCACTTTCACAGTGGTGCCAGAAGTAGAGAGAGAGTAATGAAGAGATTGGCAATACCAGCTGGTGAACTTACAAAGAAATCATCACTCTCAAAGGACAGAAAACGTATCAGACAAGCTGACCAGCAGACAACTGAGAAACATAAAAAACGTCGCCAGGCTGAACAACTGCAAAAAACCCGTCGTGAAGAAGCTGTACGTGAAGCAGAAGGAACAACTTATGAAGCAGGAGGTTTCTAATTAAGGCCAGTACTTCTAAGATAAAAAAACTGAACAAATGACCTCACAAACTCGTGCAAATGATTTGTATTGTTGTTTCTAAATTTTAACGCTTATTTGCTCAAATTGTGCAATTTCGGCAGTTGCGAAAAGATATCTCATGTTGTATTT